ATAGCAGGAGTGTTTTTTTAGGACAATACTTAACTAGTACAATATACAAGTAGTGTGGACCAATAGTAAATGGACATATGATCTTTAATTACTAAATCAAATATAATGATTTGAACAAATATGTTATTTCTCAATTTTTTTTTAGAAATATTATAATGTCAATTCTAATTTCAATAGTAGGAGTGTTTTTTTTAGGACAATACTTAACTAGTATAATATACAAGTAGTGTGGACCAATAGTAAATGGACATGTGATCTTTAATTACCAAATCAAATATGATGATTTGATTACCACATTTGATATTCAAAATAGGGTAAAATACATTAACACCCCCTAAAATTTGCCAAAATGACACTTAGAGGAAAGTTTGTTTATTTTGGAATAATGACATTCCTTGAAATTTGATATATCTACTAAATACACCCCAATAATAATAAATTGACATTTTTACCATTTGACTTTTATATTGACTAATTTAAATGCTGAAATGATCTTTCTAACCTCATACCTATAATAATTTATATTGACTAATTTAAATGCTGATATGGTAGATGTATCAAACTTCAAGGAGTGTCATTGTCCCAAAATAAGCAAACTTTCCTATGAGTGTCGTTTTGAAAAACCTCAGGGGGCCATTAAAATAAGATGGGCCTATTTATTATTAATCCACATCAGCGTTAAATATATTATAAATTCTCAGTAGTGAGGATGGTTTGATTACCATATTTGATAATTAAAATAAGATGTGTCCATTTATTATTGGTGCAGCAGTGAGTATATTGTAAATCCTCAATAGCGAAGACCTAAGTATTTATTCTTTCTTTTATATTCAACTTACCAATTATTTTTCTTAAACTAGCATACCACATTCGAATCCAAAACTTTGAGACCCTTATTTTCCCAAAAAAAAAAAAAAGAAAAAACTTTGAGAACCTTTAATTAACATTTTGATTAGAAAATGAGTCTTAGACAATTTTAATTAGATTACAAAATGAGAATATTGATAGTTCTTTTTAGGTAATTATTTTTTTGCGGTATGCTGCCACCCTAATTTAACATCCAGGATTTGAAGAGACACCATCAGACGCAAAATAACATGTTTGGTACTGGTAAGTTCTAAAAAACATGGAATAGGAGGTGCATGAAGGAATATATTATCAGATATATAACGCCAGATCATTTTGCTTTTGCATATGATGATACAATGACCGATGACAAATATTTTATATGTACTACCCCACTACAGTGTAACAACCTTATGAAACACATCTTCCTCTGGAAGCATCGGACTATAGAAGCACCCCACCGGAACTTGATCTCGGCAATGATGGAAGGACATTGATTCCGATCTTGTTCATTGATCACCCTGTTGATTACGGACCTCGACCTAGACAATTATGGAATCACAATGTAGGCCTGGCAACACCAAGAACAGTTGAAGCAAGATCCCAAACGACTATGGAATCACAACACGCAGTTGGCAAAGTTATGTTTGCATCTCGACGTAGAAATGTCTCTATGTGATCCCTAATAACTCCCACTTCATTCAGATTGACGTTTAAAGATACTCCCACGTGTAAAAGTAGATCAAATCCAAGCTTGTGTCTCATTTCATGTGAGTCTACTTGCAAACAAAAGTAGCCAAGCCAAAGTACATTTATGCTTGAGTTGTTTTCCAGTTCCCGGAAGAAGGAAGTCACATAAGTAAAAAAGACCCCATTACCCTTATAGTTTCATAAAATAACAAAGACCCCACTACTAATTTAACCTTGTGCCAACCTTAAAAAATTTCGAATTAAGGTTAGAATGTTATTAAAATTTTATTAAAGATGCACAAAAAAACATCAAAAGATGAGACAGGCAACTTCCCTGCATCCCATTTAGTCCCGAAGGCAAGGGTGGATCCAAGATTTTTCAATGGGGTGGGCTAATATTGAATATAAATTTAATAACAAAATTTCTTAAAAAAAAAAAAAGAAAAAACAGAAAAAAAAAGAAAAAAAAAAGAAGAGTTTTATAACATAATATAGATAAATATTTGAATTCTAAGATTACAAAATATCTATTTAAGTTGTGCTCAACAAGTCTTTAAAGACACGAATTCGTCGATAATAGACTCCAAGTCAATTTTTCAAACAAGTTCTCGTTCAAGGTTGATGGTCATGCAGTCATCAAGAAATTCATCTCCAATCCTGCTATGAATCGTTGTTTTAACACGTCTCATTCCCTTGATTTAATGAACCTGAACTTTCATCATGGCCTCTAAAACCAATTCCTTGCAATGCTAGCAAGCGAACGGTTTCAATAGTTACCTTAAGCCGCATTTGATTCTTCAAAACCTCTTCTCTTGATTGGGCGTTCAACACTTTATCAATATGTTGTGCCGATTTCTTTAAATTCCTAAAGCATGGCACATTTTGTATGTGGTGAGGATTGAAGTCCCATGTGTTTCAAGAATACACAATTGTCTCCATCATCAACTGCTAAATCCACCATCAATAAGTGAAGAATGACTCGCCGCCGTATTATTTCTCTTTTCAAAGAGAAAGCATGGAAAACAATAAACTTTATCTTTTGAAGGAGAATACTTTAGCCAAGGAAATTGCTTGAACCATTAATACCTAAATCGTCGATTCTGCTTTCCATCCTAAGAGTAGGGATAATTGGAAAGTTTCGGTTGATAAGGCCCCAAATTGATATAAGCTCATCTAACATCATCCAATTGATATAAGAGATCCTTTATGAATACCCAGTAAATCAAATGGATGACGTTAGACGAGCTTATATCAATTTGGGGCCTTATCAACTAAACTTTCCAATTATCCTAACTCTTGGGATGGAAAGCAGAATCGACAATTTAGGTATGAATGGTTCAAGCAATTTCCTTAGCTAGAGTATTCTCCTTCAAAAGATAAAGTATATTGTTTTCCATGCTTTCTCTTTGAAAAGAGAAATAATACGGCGGCGAGTCATTCTTCACTTATTGATGGTGGATTTAGCAGTTGAAGAGAGTTAATGATGGAGATAATTGTGTATTCTTGAAACACATGGGACTTCAATCCTCACCACATACAAAATGTGCCATGCTTTATGGGAATTTAAAGAAATCGACACAACATATTGATAAAGTGTTGAATGCCCAATCAAGAGAAGAGGTTTTGAAGAATCGAATGCAGCTTAAGGCAACGATTGAAACCGTTCGCTTGCTAGCTAGCATTGCAAGGAATTGGTTTTAGAGGCCATGATGAAAGTTCAAGTTCAGGGAATTTTATTGAAGTGTTAAAGTGCAAAGCATAAAGAAATGATGAACTTTCAAGTGTTATCTTAGACAATGCTTCACAAAATGCCCAATACATTGCTCCATCAATTCAAAAAAAGATTCTTCATATTCTTGCAAACAGAGTGAGAAAAATGATTTGTGATGAAGCTGCGGGAGACAAATATTGTATTCTTGCTGATGAAGCACAAGATGAGTCTAAAACAGAGCAAATGGCTCTTTGTAGAAGTTGAAAACACATCTGCAGTTACGTTTAAGGATGAAATATCTTATATTCTTGTTCAGTTTGATCTTTCAATTCAAAATTTGAGAAGTTAAGGGTACGATGATGCAATATCTAATATGCACGGTGAATGGAATGGACTACAAGCATTATTTCTTAAATATTGCCCATTTGTTTATTATGTCCATTATTTTTCTCATCGATTACAACTAGCACTAGTTGCAGCATCAAAAGATGAGCCGAATATTTGGCAATTCTTCTCTCACCTGGCTTGTATTGTCAATCTTGTTGCTCTCTCTCCCAAGCGTCTTGCTGAATTAAAATATTTTCAAAGGGATAAGATTGCCCATATGTTGAGCACGGGTGAACGTGAATTTGGTGAAGGGGCTAATCAGATTGGCATCTTGCATTGAGTTGGAGCGGAGCTCACATTATGATTCAGTAAAGGATTTGATTGATATGTATACTTCATCCTGCAAAGTTGTTAGAAGTCTTAGAAAGGGTGAACAAAGTCAACAGATACGTTAGCAAGCTTTAGGTGTTTACAAGGTAATGGGAAACTTTGAATTCATATTTATCTTACACCTAATGGATAACATTATGGGATTCAACCACACACTTTGCCAGGCCTTGCAACGCAAATCTCAAGACATTCTAAATGCTTTTAAATTAGTCTCAACAACTAAAACTCTCCTTCAAAAATTCAAACAAGATGATTGTGACATTTTCCTTGCCAATGTGGTGTCATTTTGCAATCGACATAACATTGATATACCTGATTTGAGTTCTCGTTATGTAGAGGGTACGAGTCATCATTGTCAGCAACAAGATCGTGTTACAGTTGAACACCATTATCATTTTGACATTTTCAACTCTGCAATAGATTTATAGTTGATGCAGTTAGAACATAGATTCATAGTGGAACTTCTTACTCTTAGCTCGGCTTTGGATCCTAGTGATTCTTCTAAAATCTTTTAACGTGGAAAATATATGCAAATTTTGTTCAAGGTTGTATTTATTAAACACGTGCAGATATAGCTATCTATATATCCGCCTTCCCCTTTATTGCCGCTCTATTCAGGACAGCACGGGTCGTGCTCTATCAATATTTCTTCTCTTCCTGATTTAAGTCGGGAACTAGTTGTAAGCAAGAAGATTGAGTACTACCCTTTGGTTGACAGATTGATTCGTCTTGTGATTTTCAGGTATGAGACGTGTTAAAACAGCGATGTGTAGTAGGATTGGAGATGGATTTCTTGCTGACTGCATGACCATCAACCTTGAACGGGAACTTGTTTAGAAAATTGACTTGGAGCCTATTATCGATGAATTCGAGTCTTTAAAGACTCGTCGATCACAACTTAGATAGCTATTTTGTAATCTTTGAATTCAAATATTTATCTATATTATGTTATAAAACTTTTTTTTTTGTAATTGACAAAGCTAGAATATCTTCAATGAGCATACATAAAACAAATAGACCAAACCCAAAAATGTTAAACAAACCTAACCCCCAAAATATGTAAAACAAACATACATATTTCTGGTCCACATACATAAATACAATTTCTGCTAGCTCCACATACGTATACATACAACACACGTACTTAACACCAAAGCCGATTCCATATTCATATATGTATAGTAGAACAATAAGTTGGACGAATATACCTTTTTTCCGCCATTTTGTCTTTATGTTTCTTTTTCAAAACGTGAACCTGCATCATTAAAATTGAAGGACATAACATATTTAGAAATTATATGTTAAGACTCATTACTATTTTATTTGATAAGTTATGCTAGAATAAAATAAGAACATTCATATACAGTTAAATAAACAAGTTTCGAAAAAAAAAAAAAACTCAACAATCAACCTAAAACTGGCAACCGCAAGGAGGGTACGAGATAAAGAGTAGAAAGCCCTTTTCGAGCTCGAATCGAGGAGCTTCCAAACCGGTGTTCGAACTCGATTCGATAACGATCGCGACTTACTTCGGCTCGGCTTCAAACTCTCTTACAAATGTGTGTATATGTATATATATATGCAAAATCTAAAAAGATAGACATACATGAAGAAAAAAAAAAACTATCATGATTATATAGATACCTGGAATAATCACCACCATTCCACTGTAGTTTGGAGATGGGATTTCGTAGCCGCCATGGCCACCATTATGATACGCCATTGTAGACGCCAACCCTTCCATCTGATCGAGAGAGGCTGGATTTTTTGCAGAGGGGAGTGGCTGAGTGAGGAAAGGAGGAGGTGAGGCTAGGTTAAGTTGAGTGGTTAAAGGTGTTTATATAGACGGGCTTCATAACGTGGGCTTGGGCTTATTCTTCTTGGGCTTGGTCTATGCCTGGTATTATGTTTACATGGATTAGGTTGGGTTTGGACGAATTTCTAAGTTAGTAAAAAGAAAAACTATTGGCCAAGTTATACATAAATATTATTATTATTATTATTATATATATAGAATAATGAGTTTAAGGACTGAATTTGACAGTTTATTTTTTTTTTCTTAATTTGACCATTACCAAATTCAAGGTAAAGTACAGCAACACCTTTGAATTTTGTCAAATTGGTCTATTTTGGGGCAATGACACCTTATGAAGTTTGATACATTTACCAAAGACACCCCAATAGTAATAAATTGACATTTTTACCCTTTGACTTTTATATTGACTAATTTAATTGCTGAAATGACCTTTCTAACCTCATACCCATAACAATTTATTTCCTTCTCTCCTTTCTATTTTCTCTTCCTCAACCCCCGACACCAACACACATTGTCACACACATACTGTCACACATATACACACACACATAAAAAAATGAAAGTGGAGTATTTAAATATTGCTAGGGCTAAATCATAACAAATGTCCTAATGCATCCAACAACCAAAATCCATATTTTGTAGATATAATTTTTCTAGTCTCACAGAATTCGACAAACACTGCAGATAGGAGGGATTGGACATAAACATTGGTAAATTTAAAACCAAAGCCAGAAAAATTACATCTATAAAAACAATGGAAATTTCAAAACAACTTGCATCATCAAATCAACCCACCAAGTTATTTGGAGAATTTAATAACCATAAAATGGCTAAAAGTTAAAACTTAGTTATGTTTAAGGAACACATCAAAGTAATTAGATTTATTAATTGAAAAAAATATCAAGTAATTGATGTATTATTTATTAAATAAGTATGAATGAATCATTTATGTGACAATATGTGTATGTATGTGTGACAGTGTGTGTTGGTGTTGGGGGATGAGGAAGAGAAAATAGAGAGGAGAGAAAGAAAGAAATTGTTATGGGTATGAGGTTATAAAGGTCATTTCAACATTTAAATTAGTTAATATAAAAATCAAAGGGTAAAAATGTCAATTTATTACCATTGGGATGTCTTTGGGAGATGTATTAAACTTCAAGGGGTGTCATTTTCCCAAAATAGGCAAACTTTCATCTGAGTGTCCTTTTGACAAACCTCAGGGAGCGTTACTGTACTTTACCCCAAATTCAATTTATGTGAGTGGATTCGTGGGTCTCACCACATGATGTCACCATAACTTCATGTGATAGAACTCACAAGTCACAACCCCCCTCTCACATAAATTGAATTAGGTAATTATCTCTAAATCACTACTCATATATATATTAGGGCTAGTCACAGATTCAATGAAACATCAACCCTAATCCGACCTGGTCCAAATGAATATTCGTGGCAAGGACCAATCTGACCCTTAGAATATCGGATTAGATTGGAGCTATTTTACTAAAAAAGGCTAATATAACCAATTTCAACGTTTTTCTCTTCTTTGAGAGAACGACTTAAAAAGTTTATACCCATTTATTTTTCCATTCAGATTTGATGTGAGACAAGATTCCCATTGTAACATTCTCCTCTATCCGAACTTGCAACAACCTCGTTGGGGTTGGGCCACCCTGCCTACCCGAACACCTCCGGGTTGGGCGCTTGCCACGCTTGGTATGACAGCGAATAAAGGATTTGGTCAGGCTCTGATACCAATTATAACGGGCGAGTGCTTCGCAATCCGACCTAAAAGTTTAGGCTATTAAGTGTGGTTAACACCCAGCCCATATATACCCATTAACTTTTCCATCCAGGTCTGATGTGCGAGAAGATTCCTCTTGTAACATCTGGGCTATGTGAATTGCAAAATGGCTAGTTTTGGATTTGATTATATGAAATAGTAAAGTTAAGTAGGTCAGTGGTCTCAAGTAGTAAATAAAAGTTAAAATAATAAAAGACTAAAATGTACAATTGTGTATCATATTGTAATATATATATATATATATATATATATACACATATATATCTGTCAAATATCGGATTAGATCAATTTTTACACTCCAATCAGTGATCCAATCCGTGAACTAAGGATTCAATTTTTTTTTTGAATCTGCCACTGATTTGTGGGTCTAATAACCCGATTCGATTCGTACGGATCGAATCAGATCGGATTCATTTTTTAATTAAACATATAGATCTTGTTTGCGTTCAGTTCGTCTTTTAAACAAACAAACACAAACTGTGCTCTTAATGAGCCTAACACCAATTGTTCGTGGAAAGCTTGGTGTGTTTAGAACATTACTTTTTGGTGAAGACTTTTTAAAATGACAAAGAGCCGTGAAATTTAAATGTTGGTCTTTGTCTTAAAAAGACTTCTGATGGTCCTTCTATGTGAAAAGCGAAATGCACTCTGCTATATGCATTTTCATTTCTTAATTTTCATTTACACAATATCTTTATATACAGTTAAATTATTCCGACCTTCTTTAATAATAAGAGTAAAAGACACGTGTAATGCACGCAATCAAAAATTATTTTATAGTTTTAATTAAAAATTATACAAAATTATCAAAATAAATTTCTCCAAGAGGCCGGCTGTTTTAAGAAATTATTAATCGATTCAAGACAACCACCTCATTTGACACTTAGTTGACTAATCCAATAAAAATTAATATTGAGATTTTTTTTGTAATATATTAATACACTCTTATAAGATTATTTTCTCAATCTTATAATTTAAAATGAATTGATGGACCAATTTTTAATGATATGATTGCATTCAATAATTTCTCATGATTAAGACTTAACCCTCTGAAATAAATTAAAAAATGTTTCAAATCTCTCTTGATTTATTGTAATTTGTTTTTTTTGTTTGACTAGCGGTGAGATGAATAACAAATGAAACAAATTTAAGAGATTTCAATCTCTCTTCATTTATTTCTTTACTGCCGTTTGACTAGCGATGAGATGAGTAACAGATGGAAAGACTCTACTTTGATATAAAATAGATTATTCAAATCTCTGTATTTATTGTCATCAATTTCTATATTTCTATTTATGTACAACTCACTCCCTCCTTCTCCCCGCATTGAACTCATCTTCCCCTTACACTATGCTCTAGCTGTGTGTGTCAAAGAGCAGTGAAATTTAAATGTTGTTCTTTGTCTTAAAAAGACTTCTGATGGTCCTTTTATGTGAAAAATGAAATGATCTCTGGTGTATGCATTTTCATTTCTTAATTTTCATTTACGCAGTATCTTTATATAATATAAATTATTCCGACCTTCTTTAATAATAGAAGTAAAAGACATGTGCAATGCACGCAACCAAAAATTATTTTATAATTTTAATTAAAAATTATACAAAATTATCAAAATAAATTTCTCCAAGAGGCTGGTTTTTTTAAGAAATTATTAATCGGTTCAAGACAACCACCTTATTTGACATAATGGACTAATCCAATAAAATTAATATTGAGATTTTTTTGTAATATTAATACACTCTTATGAGATTATTTTCTCAATCCTATAATTTAAAATGAATTGATCCAACAACTATTAATGATCTGATTCCATTCAAAAATTTCTCATGAATAAGACTCAACTCCCGAAATAAATTAAAAAATGTTTCAAATCTCTCTCAATTTATTGTAATTTTTTTTTATTTGACTAGTGGTGAGATGAATAACAAATGTAATTACTCTATCTAACATGAAATAAATTTAAAAGATTTCAATCTCTTTTCATTTATTTCTTTACTGAATGGAAAGGCTCTACTTTGATATAAAATAGATTATTCAAATCTCTGTATTTACTATCATCAATTTCTATATTTCTATTTATTTACAACTATGCCAAATACATATATATATATATATATATGTTTATGTACAACTCACTCCCTCCCTCTCCCCGCATTGAACTCATCTTCTTTTTACACTATCCTCTAGTGTACGTGTCAAAGAGCCGTAAAATTTAAATGTTGCTATTTGTCTTAAAAAGAATTCTGATGGTCCTTTTATGTAAAAAAAAAACGAAATGCTCTATAGTGTATGCATTTTCATTTATGCAGTATCTTTATATACAGATAAATTATTCTGACCTTCTTTAATAATAGGAGTAAAAGACACGTGAAATGCACACAATCAAAAATTATTTTATAATTTTAATTAAAAAATAATTAAAATTATTTTAACCACCTTCACCACCGCCACCGTTCCTAATCAATTGTTTTAACTGGCTCTATGGATAGCATACCCCCTCCATCACAGTCTTCTTGTCACTTGACTGGTCCTAATATTTTCCTTTCCCCATCTGATAAGTAATGACCTGCGAACATTCTGAGGTCCTTCCATAAAGGAGCTGAGGAAGGTGAATGGAATGCTGCAGCTGAGGATGCTAAAGCAGTGGGTGATGTAAAGCTAATGTTAGAACAAGCTCCTGCTAGATCACTTGCTAATGCAAGAACTGAACTTACTCTTGCCAGGGAGAAGATTGCTGAGCTGGAGAGAGCCCTTAACCATAGGGCTGATTCCCAAAAAGGGAAACAACCACTTATCACTGTGAATATAGTGGCCTCAGACCCTCTACCTGCTTCATATCTCCCAGATGACAGTGGTAGTAAGCCTCAAACATGGTATCCTCAAGCAGGGGTAAGGGTAGAGGTTCAAATAGAAGAGGCAGAGGTGGAGGAAAGAGATCTAACACCATTGTCTCTCAACACCAGCACCAAAGGAGTGCCCACGCGCCACCTCTGAATGTGAGTAATGCTGCAGCTCCAGAGTAAAACATTGGACTTGACACACTTGTCCAAGCTATCCCTTCACAGAGTGACTTTCCCCCATTTCATCAAAATGGAAATTTTGGTTCTCCTACAGGCTATCCATATGGTCTGCACACTGCTCAGCAACCTATTTCTGGACCTGTTGGTCCTCGAGACACTCAAACCAGCTGGTCAAAAG